CGAATTATACACAAAAATATTAATTTTATTCAATGGTTTTAAAGGCCTGTACAAACTGGCGCACTATGGGGAATTTTTGGAAAAAGTGTGTCAAAATCAAAGAACTTTTGAATGAAATCATTTAATCAAATGAAACCTTTTGGAGATTGTTGTTTAATCCCTTCCAATTATGGGAAAAAGTAATAAGAAATAATAATAATTAATTTTTAACCTAAAAAAGTGAGGTCAAAGTTGACTATATTTCGAAAAATTAGAGTTTTTTCTAAGTCCCACGCGAATGATTATTATGATTTAAGCACGAACCATGTTTTCTTGTATATTTTTGGGCGCTTTTTACGAATCTGCAATTGGTTTTTTAAAATTCAAAATGGCTGATCCAATATGGCGGAAATTTTAAACTAATTTCTAAAAATTCATCGGATTCACTTGAAACTCGTTACTCGGGGGTTTTTGGGGTTGCTGATTTCGAAAATGAAGTCGGTTATTAAAAATACAAAATGGCGGATCCAATATGGTAGTCGAGTTTTGTAAAAATTCATCAGATTCACTTGAAACTCGTTTCTCGGGGGTTTTTGGGGTTGCTGATTTCGAATATGAAGTCGGTTATTAAAAATACAAAATGGCGAATCCAATATGGTAGTCGAGTTTTGTAAAAATTCATCGGATTCACTTGAAACTCGTTACTCGGGGGTTTTTTGGCTCGCTGATTTCGAATATGAAGTCAGTTATTAAAAACACAAAATGGCGGATCCAAAATGGTGGACTAGATTAGTAAAAATTCATCTGATTCACTTGAAACTTATTACTCGGAGTTTTTTGTGGTCGCTGATTCAGAATATTAAGTCGGTTTTCGAAAATACAAAATGGCGGATCCAATATTGAGGTCGGTTATTTAAAAATCAAACGGCCTAATTTGCTGTATTTGTTTGTGTGTATATATGTTTGATTGGTGCTGCTTGATAAATAATTGAACAACGTTTAAAGGATTACTATGTGACGTGTACTTCATGTTTTGTTTTGCTGAAAATAATTTTTTGGTTTAAACTGTTAAACGATTATTTTAATCTGTTGGATTACTTAACTGTAAATAATAATCTTTTTATCATTGGTGATTTGAAAATACGGATAAAGGTAAGTTACATAATAAATTTAGGACACAATTTTTAAATTACTAACTAACCTGAAAGCTGTTTGCCATATAATATTTATTGTTTATAATTTAATTTAACTTTGATTAATTTAATACAACCATTATAGTTTCACTAACCTTTCTTGATTTATTTATTAAATTTTCATTTCATAGTTAATTTGGCACATATTACTGATAAATTTTAAATTAAAAAATGATACCGTTTTGAATAATTTCCGTGCAAGTCAATTTAATTATTAAATTTTTTTCCCTAAAACTACATAAGATTTTTTAATATTAATTTTACATATTTAGTATGAGAACAAGAAAAACTAAGAAGAAGGATAACAAAAATCGTGGTCGTCCATCTAAAAAAATTAAATACTGGTAGAAAGAAAAAAGAAATGGATGACGAAAATGTGTCAAAAAGTACAGCGTATAGAAGAGCCAATGAAATTTTAAAATTTTCAAAACAGAATATTCCTGCTATAAAATTGGCTGCGAAAATAGGGGAAAAAATATCTATTTCTGAAGATAACCAAAATGATGATTTATGCACCTCTGAAGTTATTAAACATACAAATGAATCAGCATTAGCTTTTTATTTAGAATTTGATTTTTCCAAAAGAAGTTATGAGGCTTTAGCACAAGACAGTAAAGCAAGAAATAGTTCTATTTATCCATGTTACAAAGAAGTACAAAAAGCTATGTTTGACTGCAAACCTCTTAATTATCATTCATCTGAAACTGAAGTTTTAATACCTCTGGCAGACTTGCTAAACAAAACCTCTGAACGTTTATGCGAATCCATTGCTTGTGATTGGGATAAAAGAGATTTGCGTAATTTAGAGTTATTGGTCAGTTTAGGATTTGATAGTTCTTCAGGACATGTGAATCCAAATCAAAAGTGCCAAAACTCAACGAATGAAAATCCAAATGCTGTGCAATCTCTGTTTATTAGTAGCATGATTATTATACAACTAAAGAACTGTAGACGAAATGAATTAACATGGACAAACCCAACTCCACAGAGTACACGCTTTTGTCGTCCAATTCGAATTGCACTTGAAAAAGAGGATGATGTATCGACTATTCGTGAGTTTAATCGTTTAAATAAGGAAATAGAATTGCTAAAATCACACACGTTTACTATGTGCAATGGAAAAACCGTTACAGTAAGATACAATGTGTCGCAAACATTATTCGATGGAAAGTGTATCAATACAATTGTTGGTAATAAAGCATCAACGAGATGTCCCATGTGCCTCAAAACAAGCCACCAATTCTGTAATTTAAAAGATGATTTTAGTCCTGTAGAATCCTCACTAAAATATGGTTTAGGTTTGCTACACTGCGAGCTTAACTCCTTTGATCACCTGCTTAACTTGTCTTATAGAAAGCCTTTAAAAATGTGGGACGTGAAAAAAGGTGTTAAAGGTAAATAATAACTTAAAATCAAGATATGAAGAACAGATTGAAAATCTAAATCTAGATAACGTTTCTCAATTTTTTAAAATAATTTTCCAATCGATATATTTTTAAACTTAGAAATATTTCAAATATTATTTTCAGATTAAAAATAACAAAAAATAATAATTAAGAACTAAAATGAATAAGAATTATTGTCATTTCTTAAAAAATTAATTGCAAAAATTATTATTATCAGTGAAAAATAATGTCATAATTTCTTTTTATTTACCTTATATTTTTTAAATTTTATAGATCAATTTACGGATAGAAAATTGTTAGTCTAAATGAATATTTTTGATAAGTTTGGAGTAAGAGTTGATCAAATCCTCCCAGGACATGGCACGACCAATACTGGAAACGTAGCAAAAAGATGCTTTCAAGATCCCAAAATGTTCGCGCAGGCATTAGAAATTAGTGAAGAGTTGGTATCGAATATTGCGCTCATATTGCTAGCCTTTAAATGTAAAAAAGAATTAAAATTAGATGATCTGGAAAATTTCTGTTGGGAAACATACTGTCATTACTATGAACTCTATCCATGGGCTAGAATGAACCCAACACTCCACAAGTTATTAAAGCACGGGTGTCAAATTTGTAAAAATTTTCCTATTTCAATAGCATTCTATGCTGAAGATGCGAATGAATCGTGGCATAAGTTTTATAAAAAGAACTTTCTCTCCCATGCACGTCAAAATTCAAGGGAAAATCGAATTTTGGATGTATTTAACAAAGCAATTTACCTTACAGATCCACTTATTTTTATGATCTTTTTAAAAAGAAGATTAGACATGCACAATGTAAATAATGTGCCAAGAAATTTAATAAGATTTATCAAAGATGGGTTAGTGTACAGATTCGTTTTCTATTACAGTTTCATTCGCATTTTTTAAACTTTAACATATATAATGGATTAAATTCAATTATAAGTACGATTTAGTTAGGTTTATTAAATTATAAAGTACATTTTTTAAAATAAATGGAAAATTCTTTAAAAATTTACAGTTACAAATTTTTTTCAGACAAGTAAATCAAGGCATCATTAACCAGGTAATAGAAAGTGAGGAAAGCGAAATCGCAACAGATTATATTGATAGTGACTAATTTTAAAAATTGTAAAACATGATTGAATTACTAAAAAGTATTTTAAGTCTTAAAGTTACGTTAAAGAAAAGATCTATTTATACAAGTTCAGACAAGATTGATGAAACAAATGATTTTATAATCTACATTAAAAAATCAAAAAATAAAAATTGTTAACTAAGAGTAAATCATTTCTATGTAGAAAATATTCACGTTTAATTTTGCACAATCAAATGCTTATCTACCGATTTGTTTGTCAATACAAAAAAATTCTGTAGAACTGTAAAATCAACTAGAACTGTATATAAGTAATCAGCGAACACAAAAACATCCGAGTAATAAGTTTCAAGTGAATCCCATGAATTTTTACCAAATTGATCTGACATATTGGATCCGCCATTTTGTATTTTTAATAACTGACTTCATATTCGAAATCAGAAACCCCAAAAACCCCCGAGTAACGAGTTTCAAGTGAATTCGATGAATTTTTAGAAATTAGTTTAAAATTTCCGCCATATTGGATCAGCCATTTTGAATTTTAAAAAACCAATTGCAGATTCGTAAAAAGCGCCCAAAAATATACAAGAAAACATGGTTCGTGCTTAAATCATAATAATCATTCGCGTGGGACTGAGAAAAAACTCTAATTTTTCGAAATATAGTCAACTTTGACCTCACTTTTTTAGGTTAAAAATTAATTATTATTATTTTTTATTATTTTTCCCATAATTGGAAGGGATTAAACAACAATCTCCAAAAGGTTTCATTTGATTAAATGATTTCATTCAAAAGTTCTTTGATTTTGACACACTTTTTCCAAAAATTCCCCATAGTGTGGCGTGACCACGCCGTGTTGTTTTCGATGAAAAGATCGAAATGATCCTTTTGGTTTTAAAATTAACACTCTTTATTGGCGAAACTAAAGCGAGACACTTCAAGTTTGAAAACCGAAAATAAAAAGAGAATTTACTTTGTATCGTAATTTAAACTAAACTGATTTTTTTTAATTTAATAAATTAACATCGACGAGATCTGGTCTTTGAGAATGCTAATGAGCTACTGTCTGGTTCCTTAGACGCGCTACAGTGTGTTAGTGTGTCACGAGAAGTACAGTTGAGTGTATGTGTAGCGTCGTCTTGTTTTCAATGAGATTTTAAGAGTGTGTGAGTAGAAAAATTGCACGAAAACCGAAGAGTGTGAAAAATATAAGTCTGGTGTCGAGATTAAGAAAATGTGAGTGGAAAATGTCCAAAATTAAAAACCTGATATTTAGAAAATATTCAACATTTTTCCCCGCATGGCCAACAGCGTTGTCGATTGATTAAGTTGAGTCCTCGTCCGATGTGGTTTCGTCCACAAAGATGGGAAGAATTGCCAATTTGTGAATTGGCCGTTGATACCTTGATGTAGCTGTCTTAATAGTGACAACTCTGGTGAGTCCATCCTTGCCTGGGTGAAGTTTGAGAACACGAGCGACAGGCCATTTAGCGGGTGGAAATCTCTCGTCCGTGAGAAGAACCATTGAGCCAATCTTGATTTCATTTAATGGATGATGCCACTTTGAGGTTGATTGTTACCGTTGTAAATAATTAGCAGACCACTTTGTCCAAAAGAATTGCACCTTTTGTTGAATGAATTTGTGCCGTTGCAATGGTGAGAGTTTTTCGTCGAGAAGAGATGGTTCTGGAATTGTAGTGAGTGATTCCCCGATTAAAAAGTGACCTGGTGTGAGAACTGAGAAATCTTCAGGGTCATCTGAGAGTGGTTCCATAGGGCGAGAGTTGAGTATCGCCTCGATTTGAATGAGAAGAGTCGTAAATTCTTCAAAACTCAAAGTCAACTCGCCGATTGTCCGCTTAAGGTGATATTTCACTGATTTGACGCCTGCTTCCCACTTTCCACCCATATGAGATGCTGCCGGAGGGTTGAAAATCCAAGTGGTGCCGTCTTTAGTGAAAAGATAAGATAATTTGTCAAATGATTCTGACCCAGCTTGAAAGAGTTGTTTGAGTTGGTTATCTGCTCCTTTGAAATTTTTGCCACAATCACTATAGAGAGTTTTGCAGATTCCCCGCCGTCCTGTGAACCGTTTATATGCTGCGATGAATTTGTCAGTTGAGTAATCCGTTACAGCTTCCAAATGAATGGCTGATGTTGAGAAGCATACAAAGATACAGATCCAGCCCTTTTCGGAAGTAGCTCCTCGTCCTTTCCATGCCTTGATTGAGAAAAGTCCGGCATAGACAACTCCAGTTGTGAGAAAAGCTCTTGAAGGAGTGATTCTTGACAATGGTAATTGTCCTATAAGCTGTTGAGCACGTATTCCTCGTTGACGTGCGCAAATTACACATTTGAGCACTTGAGATTTGACTGATTGCCGTCCTCCGATGATCCAAAACCGCTTCCTTATATGAGACAAAGTGAGTTGTGTACCTCCATGAAGTGTTCGATGATGAGCTTCAAAAATGAGAAGTTTGGTGAGCGTTGCGTGCTTTGGAAGAATCATTGAGTTCTTGTAATGAACATCGAAGTTTAAGTGTTTGAGTCGTCCACCGACTCTGAGAATGCCTTCGTTGTCGATATATTATGCAGTTAAACGGGTGAGAGGATGAGATTTTGAGAGTGTCTGATTTCTGGTCATACTGTCCAGTTCCGATGAAAAGTATGCTGCTTGAGTGACTCGAACCCAGTAGTAAAGTGAAATGTTGAGATCGCCAGAAGGGAGTGGATTTTCCAGAGATGATTGTGGAATATTTTTGAAAGATTTGATGACCCTGAAACAAATTGATGTGATTCTCAACAGCTTGTTGATCGATGACTAACGCTCGATTAAATTCCAGATTTGAGTGTGAGGATCTGTTGAAGCCATGAGTGAGAGTCCTGGCCGCTCTTCAATTTGAGTTGAGTTGTCCTTAATAATCGGTGGGGATGGCCATTGATCCAATGAGTCCTTTAACCATGAGGGTCCTTTTCACCAGTGATTGTGAGTTTTGAGTTGTGTGATTGACAATCCCCGAGATGCGCAATCTGCTGGATTTTCTTTCCCTTTGATGAACCGCCAATGAGCATAAGGTAGTTGTTCTTGGATGAATGATACTCTATGTCGTACGTAGTCCTTCCAACGTGATGGGTAACTTTGGATCCAATTTAAAGTCACCTGTGAGTCTGTCCACATGTAAACTGATGCATGAGATAAGTCCAGCGTCCGTTGAGTGTAAACCATCAGTCGAGTTAGTAATTGCGCTGCAGTAAGTTCCAGCCTTGGAATGGTGATCTTCTTGAGAGGTGCAACCTTGGTTTTTGCACAAACAAGATTGATTGTTGGTTTGAGTTCTGAGTTGGTTGATTTGATGAAGATGACTGCTGACATTGCGAACTGAGATGCATCCGAGAATCCATGAAGTTCAACAGTTGAGGATGTTGTGAGATTGAGCCACCGTGGTATTTAGATTGTTAAAAATTGAAAAAATTCCTTTTTAAACTTGAGCCATTTGTTGCTGATCTCATCCGAGATTGAGTCATCCCATCCGAGTTTTGCTAACCAGAGATCTTGTAATAGCATTTTGGCTCGAATGGTGAAAGGTGAAAGAAAGCCAAGTGGATCAAATAGTTGAGCCACTTCTGAGAGTATAGTCCGTCTGGTGATCCGTTCCGTTGATTGAGTTGTTGGTTGAGTGGTGAATTTAAAACAGTCATCTTGAGTGCACCATGAGAGACCGAGTATTTTGGTAATGTTGTATTCAAATGAGTGAGTTTGTTGAGATTTTTGTTCAGGTGCAATAATCTTGACTAAATCTGGATGATTGCTCTGCCACTTTGCCAGTGGAAATCCGCCACGATTGAGAAGTTCTTCCGTTTGTTGAGCAATGGGGATGAGTTCCTCGAGTTGATCTGCTCCGCCATAAATATCGTCAACATATCTGCCGTTGGTGAGTACTGGTACCGCCAAAGGAAATTGATGACCTTCATCTTCGATGAGTTGGAGATTGACACGAACAGCCAAAAATGGTACCGACTTTGTCCCGTAGCTAACTGTGGTGAGTTGATAAGGTACTTCCTGTTGATCTTCATCAATCCATAGTATCCTTTAGAGATCCCAGTCAAGTTGATGGATTTTTCCTTGACGAAACATTTTGGTGATGTTAGTTGAGAAAATATATCTGAACCTCCTGGTCCAGAGTAACACATCCGAGATGTCCTTTTGAAGTTTCGCCCCTGTGTGTTGAATGTCATTGAGAGAAATCCCTGAGTCTGTTGAGCTTGATCCGTTGAATACAACCCGTAGTCTTGTGCTTGTACTTTGTTCCCTGAGAACTCCATGGTGAGGTAAATAGTAAACTGGTGATGAGCAATTCAAAGATGGAGCACGAATCATATGAGTGTCTTTCTCGTACTCTTTTAGAAAGGAATGATATAAATCCCCAAAATTCTTATTTTTTGAGATTCGCCTGAGCATTGATTGAAGACATCGATGAGCAGTAACATATGAGTCGCCAAGTTGACTTGGTGGTGATTTGAGTGGCAGCCGAACAATGTATTTTCCTGATGAGTCTCGAGAATGAGTAGATTGAAAATGTTTCTCACACTCTTGTTCATCAGGTGTGAGTGGGCTCTGGTGAGAAAACCTTAACAGGTCCGAGGATGACCCAGCCAAAAAGAGTTTTTTGAGCAGTGAGTGATGAGTTAATCCCTTGAATGACATCTGGTTTGAGTAGTTGCCCATAATAATCAACACCAATGATGATGTCTATTTTTGAGCTGCGAAAATATTAAGAATCAGCCAATTGCAAATTTTTAAACTCGCGAATGGATTCAGCAGAAAGCGTGATTAAAGGAAGAGTTGAGGATAATTTGGAAAGGATATAAGCGTTAAGCAATAGTGTTTGAGCAGAGTGAGTTGATTGAAGCTTGATTAAAACCATTCCTCGAGTACTACCAGATGCTGTTCCTCCAATTCCAACAATTGGAATACTTGAATTTTGTCGGGTGAGATTAAGTTTAGAGACAAGCCGTTCAGAAATAAATGACAGCTTTGAGCCTGAGTCTAAGAGAAAGCGTACAGGATAAGAGAGTCCAGAATTGAGAAGCAGCAAAGCTTGAGAAGTAGCGAGAAGCACAATGGGTCTAATATTGAAATTATCATTACCTTGAGCTGTCATGGCATTTAATCAATTTGACTTATCTTCCTTTTGAGCAGGTTCCACTTGTGATTGAGAGATGTCCTTGGAGGAGGATGATTGTGATTCCGGGGTGTGAATCATGGTATGATGCTTGCCGTTGCATTCCCGACATCGTTTGGAACTTTGACAAGCGTGAGCTGAGTGTCTTCCTAAGCAGTTAAAACAAAGTCGTTGAGTCTTGACAAATTCTCTTCTTTCCTTAGGGTTGAGATTCCGGAACTTTTCACAAACAACAATGTAGTGAGATCCTTGGCAATGTGAGCATGCGTATCCATTATCTTGGTGAGAGGCAGTAAGAGCCTTTGCTGGTTTTGATGTTGATTTTTGTGATGAAGTTGTGGGTGCTGATTTTGCTGCCTGAGAATATTGAGTTGAGTTAAGCTGCATGTTTTCTAATGTGCGAGCACGGCCGGTGAGAAAGTCCTTTAATTGTTGATAAGAAGGAGGGGTTGAGCTTGATCCTTGTTTCACTTCCCATGCTTCTATAGTTTGAGTATCCAATCGACGAGTGACAAAGTACACCAAGACCAGATCCCATGAGTTAACCGGTGCACCAAGTGATACGAGAGCATTGAGTGATTCCGTTGTGTTGGTGAGTAAACCGTTGAGATCACCAGCTGACTTGGCTGAAATGACCTTAAAATTAAAGAGCTTGTCCATCTGTGCTGCAATGAGCAAGCGTTTGTTCTCATAACGAGAAGTGAGTAATTCCCAAGCTGAGTTGAATGAATCATTTGACAAGGGTAAATTTGCAGTGAGTTGAGATGCTTCCCCAATGAGTGACGATCGAAGGTAGTGCATTTTTTCTACAGCAGTGATGTCAGAATTTTGAGCAACTAGAAATTGGAACAGATCTCTAAATGAAGTCCAAGCGGAGTATTCTCCTGAAAACTGAGGTAGCGTTATTTCCGGGAGATGTCTCCGTGTGTTTTGATTTGATTCCGTTGGTTGAGTTGAAATAGTTTTCGCTTGTGTGAGATGTTCCGTCAGAGTGTTTAGTCGCATTTTGGCATCCATGTAGATTTTGAGAGCTTGATCGAAGCAGTCATCAGTGATGTATGGGGATTCAAAGAATTCATCGGTGCAATTTTCTCCAATTTCCTTATGCGTTTGTGAGAATTCTTTCCATAAATCATTGAAAATTGATATCATTGAGTTAACTTTACTCAATGAGTAGTGATGAGACATTGTCTTGAATTGATCAAGTGATTCACTCATTAAATTAAGTCGACTCATTTGAGTAACAACCTTGTAGTGGAGTCGTACCTTGTTTTAAGTTGATTCTAAGTACTGATTCAAGAGATGAGCATGAGATATGATCCCTTTTCCGTGATGAGTTTTAGGATTCGAGGTGCTTGGAGTTTCTTGTGTAATTTTCTTCAAAGTTTCTTGAAGAACTTTTTCTGTGGAGATTTCCTCCTTTACTGAGAGCTTTTCCATCGTGGTGATGACATCTTTTACTTCAGAGGAGTCCGATTCGCCGGGAACTATATTCAATTTTTGTTGAGAGGAGTGAGTTGAGTCATTTGAGTGAGCTGTATCGCTCTGTGTTGTGCTCATCGCAAGAGTTGAGAGAGAATGAGAGGGACTGTTCGTTTAACTTCGGAAATGTTCGGAAAGACGAAGAAAGAGAGAGGAGACGGACCGTGCAAAGATGGCCGACACTGAATTTCGTAGAGAGCTTCGCCGGTGCGATACACTGTACCGGGCTCGTGAGTCCCCACCACTACGCACTAATGCCTTTGTCACTTTCACTTGTTCAAACTCGCACTACAATTCTTTACAGAACACTATCCGGCACGAAGGACCAAATGTTTGAGATTGACCGATGAGAAGTGGGTTCTTTTTTATATAAAAATTGAATGCACGAATTATACACAAAAATATTAATTTTATTCAATGGTTTTAAAGGCCTGTACAAAATGGCGTGACCACGCCGTGTGGTTTTCGATGAAAAGATCGAAATGATCCTTTTGGTTTTAAAATTAACACTCTTTATTGGCGAAACTAAAGCGAGACACTTCAAGTTTGAAAACCGAAAATAAAAAGAGAATTTACTTTGAATCGTAATTTAAACTAAACTGATTTTTTTTAATTTAATAAATTAACATCGACGAGATCTGGTCTTTGAGAATGCTAATGAGCTACTGTCTGGTTCCTTAGACGCGCTACAGTGTGTTAGTGTGTCACGAGAAGTACAGTTGAGTGTATGTGTAGCGTCGTCTTGTTTTCAATGAGATTTTAAGAGTGTGTGAGTATAAAAATTGCACGAAAACCGAAGAGTGTGAAAAATATAAGTCTGGTGTCGAGATTAAAAAAATGTGAGTGGAAAATTCCAAAAATTAAAAACCTGATATTTAGAAAATATTCAACAATGTGAAATATAATAATCTAACCGGAATGAAAAATTGTGATATGTAAGAAATAGTTTTGTAATTTATTTGCAATAATAAAGATTTTTTAAATATACATAATATGTATGTTCATTATTATTAACGTATATAAATATTCAACCTTTATAGGAATGGTATATTTTAATATCGTGGATTTGTCCAGAAACGTTCAATTTTAATAGAAAGAGACTAGACAGCCAGTCTGTATATTATTCTAGATGTTTCTAGCGTTACATTCCTAGTTCGCTTCTGCCCAGATTTCCCTTTAAGTTCATAGACAGAATCTAGCGCAACTAGGCAGTTTCTTATATACTTCCACGATAAATTTCAACACGGGTAGTAACTACTCCAGTTAGTTGCAGTAATTAATTTTTCTAGATAAAGGACTTAGTTGAAATATAGAGCCAGTATATGATTTTAAATGACTCAACAATAGTGCAGTAGTTAAGAGTACCCAGATAACAATTTGAGATTAATATGCGTCTTATATCGCTCGCATGTATGAGGTTTCTTTTCGCACTCGTGCCTTCACTGATGCAGACAGATGAGACGCATTACGCTCGCATGTCATAAAGGTGCATGATGCATGAGAGTAAAATGCGAGTCTCGTGTGTTTTTTAAGGATTATTTATGATAAATATATGGTAAAAAAATAAATAAAAAAGCTAAGGTTACATTTAAAAATATTTCATTAAAATTTTTTATTTCAATAATATAAACATGGCATTAATACTGAACACTTTTCTCTTTAGTCTTGAACATACATAACCTCCTAAATAACCTATAATAAACATTAGCTGAGATCATAATTCGTTATAAATATAAACTTTTCAACACAAATTCAACAAAAGTCAACTGTATAATATAATAAATTAACAATTTGGACTGCGTCTAAGAGTCTTTCTTTTCAAAGCAAATCAACTTTAAATGCTCTTCTTCGATATTACCGTTATATTTTTTAATTTTTCAATGTAAAAACGAGTTTAAACAAAAACAAATATTTATAAAACATAAAAGAAACAAAACTGTGATTCGCACACGCACTTTTTATAAATAATAAACAATCACGACATTCACCCAACGATAAAAACACATGCTCAGAGCGAAACTGGACGTCATGTGACTCGAGACGGACATCAACAAGTACATTTTCGGCCATAATGGGAAAATTGGCTGCGCACCCTGCGCACATGCGCATCGGTGAGACGGCGAATATTAAAAAATTATAAAGTCAAATATTTTTCTGCCTTCATTATCAACTTTAGATAAATAAATGATAATAACGTTCTACAGTAAAGTTTTATTTTTTTAAGTAAAATTTTTTGTAGTAATTTCAAAACATTTAGTAATTTATAATTATTTAAATTAAATTATGAATTACAATCTATAATAAATATTATATATATGAGTCATTCCATTATATTTCGACTAAAGTCGTTGCCGACTAATTTTAAAAAATTATAATATTTTGCAGGAATGATTTTAAAGATATTAGGATCATCGAATAAAAAGAATTTTTTAAATATTTTTTATATTTATTGTAAAATAAGCATCTAAACTATATAAAGTCGTAAAAACTGTCTATTAGAAAATATTAAAGAAAACACATACTTTACTATGAAAACGTAAAAAAATTATTAGAATTTATTATGAATGAATTATTTTATTATTATGAATTGATAGAAACAATTATAATTAAGAAATATTAAATAAAAAATTATTTTAAAGTTCACCTGGCAAATAACCTATTTTTGCAAATTTCATTCGCTAAATGTGAGAAAGAGAAATCATTAAATTGAATAAAACCTTATGAAATGTAAAGAAACTTTTAATAACTTTTAGTTTTTCTTATCACTTTCTTCCTTTTTTCTTCACAAATGTTAAAAAGTAAGCAATTAAAACTGGCACTTTGCTTATTTTCACGATTTTAAAATGTAAATAACTTCTGCCCAGAAAAATGAAAAATTACGAAAATTGGGCAATAATAATAAGATGATTATTTTATAATAAATATAAAAAATATTTAAAAAATTCTTTTTCTTCGATGATCCTAATATCTTTAAAATCATTCCTGCAAAATATTATAATTTTTTTAAATTAGTCGGCAACGACTTTAGTCGAAATATAATGGAATGGCTCATATGCATATTATATAAATTAATAAAATATAAATTTTATATTAAATTGTAAATTATTAAATAATTCAATTTTAAAAATTTCTACAAGTTATCATTAAAGTAATTTTCATAAATTCATAAATTTTATTGGTTTAATGTAATATAAGATTATTTGAGGGGCTGATATAAAGTGGTTTAAAAAACATTGGAAGAAAAAGTGGGATAAGTGACTTGGTAGCAAAAATGGTTTAAAACAATTAAAATATTTATCAATAAGTTTATTACACGAAGGACTTGCAAAACATTAAAGTTTTTCTTTACTATTTTAAATATTTTTTCATCATTAATTATAATTAATTAATCCATAAATTACAAAATCATTTTCGCCCGTATTTGCGCCCAAGTCACTTATCCCACTTTTGCTCCTAATTACGAGACGCATCCTTATTCCCGAAATCTTTTTTGACCAAATAGTTATTTGATATAAAACTACTTCACTTATAATTCACATAATATGCACATTATTTGACATAAAATTCATTGCACACAAAAACCATTTAACATAAATATCATTTGTCATAGAATTCATTAAATAGAAATATTCTGTTACATAAAACTCAGATAACTTAATTTCCATTTGACATAAAAATTATGTAACTTAAATTTTTATTGACATAAAAATCATTTAACATAAATTTCTTTTGACATAAAACTCATTTAACGTAAATTTTATTTGTTATAAAATTCATTTGACATCAATTTCATTTGGCATAAATGTCATTTAACGTAATTCTCATTTGACATAAATATCATTAGACATAAAATTAGCTTGACATAAATTTCATTTGACGTGAATATCATTTAACATAATTATTATTTAACGTAAAATTAAATTTATATAAATTTCATTTAGCATAAATGCCATTTAACATCATTCTCATTTGACATAAAATTTACTTTAATTCGCGCCTATATTTCTATGTCAAATGATCTTTATTTAAAATGAAATCTGGGTCAAATCATACCTAACAAATCAAAGTTGTCCCTCAGTTCTCCGATTTTTGTGAAACTTTGAGAAATTGTAGGGGAATACATGCGAATAAAAATTCCAAAAAAGATTTTCGAAAATTTTAAAAATTTGTGGTTGTTCAGGGTTTTCAAATTTTTTTTTTGAAATTTTGAAAACGCAATATCTCAGAGACATATGGATGGATTTTAATGATTTTTTCAGGGATAACTTATTATTTACAAACAATTAAAATGAAAAAAATTACAAAAAAAATTTTTTTTGTTTTAAATAAAAAATTTAAAAAATATTGTTTAAACAAATTTTTTGTTTATAAGCGTATCTTTAATTTTTTTCTAATAGCGATATTTTGATTCCTTAAGATTTCACGAGTATTTTGACATAAACAAATCGATGGAGACTCTTAAACTTTCAGAGATATTGTATTTTTTGTCTTTGCGCGCAGGGCCAAAAAGCGCACTGAAGCAAAGGCTCTGTGTACAAGGTAATGGTCAAAATTACCTAATACTCGCGTAAATTTCAAACGAATTAAATTCTTTCTTTTTTAAATCAATTAGTAACATTTTTGTTACGCCCATATTTAATTTAAAAAGAAAAGATGTCGAAAATTATTTTATTTAAAATTTTCTCAAAACTTCCTTCGAACCAAGTTGAAGGAAGTCAAAGATCATGTTGCACTAAGGAATTTCGGTGTCAGCGAAATGGTGCAACTCGCGAGGCAATGACACTAAAATAATTTTATATTTTTAAA